AGTGAAACTGTGTGGCTGTTGTTCTCCACAGTGCCTGGTACATAGTGTTTTATGTAAAAGTAGAAGCAGAGTATTTTTCCATGAAAGACTAAATGACCCTGCTGTCAAAATACAGATCCCATGCCCCATCCATCAAGAAGCCCTTCTTCAGTGAATGATGAAGTTGGGGTGGCTTCCCACCAGCAGGCGTCAAGTGAGTTACTTTCCTCATGTCCAGAAGTCAACAGTGAGGAGACTGAGGTTGCCCTGGAAATGACCAAGACTTCCTCCCACTTATGTTCTTCCACTGCCCAGGCACAAAGGCAGTGGGATGTGGGTGGACTAAGGCAGCTTTAAAGATCTGACCAGGCTGAGGTGTGAGGATTTGCATTAAACACCCTGGGACGTCCCAGTTACAGGAGATACTTCTGTGAAGGAACCAGGGACATTTACCCTTGCAGAAACACTTGTCTCTGCAGTGCCATTCCCCGGACTCTTCCATGGTAAGGGAACTCAAACAATGGAACCCAACAGAAGATGCAGCATTCACCCCACGGATGCATGGAGAGTCCACAGCACCCATGAGTGGGTGGAAACAAGGGAGGCTGAGCAACTGGAGCCTTCTGCCTCCCTCCATTGCCCTATGTTTGTAAACGGGTAAACTGAGGCCTCCAGGGGAAATGAGTCTGAGATGACATCTCAGCCAGGGTGGAACAAGGAGCTCCCGTTCTTCCAGCATCTCAAAGGGTGAGACGCAAAGGTGGTGTCTGACACGATTTCCAGAGCAGCCATGTCCCCGAATCCCAAGGCCTCCAAAAGGCCCTGCCCACCTCTCCTTCTCACATGCTCTATTCACTCCATCCCACTCAGGTCCAGCTCAGGAACTGAGGGCAGCTTCTCTGGGATCCAATCTAGACCCTTGTGATCAATGGCCTCACTCCTCATGGGCTCCGCCCCTCCCTGCAGCTCCATGCACCCTGATAGGCTGAGTCTGAATGGCACCGCCCCCTTGCTGCACTGCGCCCTGCCCACTCTCTCCGCTTCTAACACCCTTCACATAGGGCCCGCGGGGTCACCTTTCTGGCCTGGGCTCCTGGCTGAGTCTCACCCATTTTCACACACGTGCAGAAGTGTCCAGCGCACTTGGCTCCCCTAGCACTGCATCGCTCCCTGCCAGCCCCTCACCTGCCGCTGCTCCGCTGAGTTCTCACCTCTATGCAATTCACGGTCCACAGGACTCCGACCTCGTTATCCTGCCCACCCGGTCTCCTCTGCCATCCCTCTGTGGGGCAGGGACTGGCGATAGGATGGCCTAACTTCATCTCCTGTGACATGGGTGGACTAGACTCCATGGTATTTCTAAACCCCCTTTCTTACCTCAGTCTGGGAGAGCTTCATAAGACCGGAAACTGCAGCTTGCTCTGAGGTGACTTCTGGTACAAGGACCCCGGTCCCAGGCCGCTAGAGCCCGTCTGGTGGGTGGGTGCTCTATCGCTCATGCGCAGAGGGCACCGGAAGGCAGGGCTGACTGCACAGACTCTGCGGTCCTGGGAAAATACTCTGATTCTAAAGGCGCAAACTTCTTTACTGCGGACTGCCTGATCCTGAACTTCTATGGCTTCCTCCGCTTTCACCAAGCCTCCTGTGGTCAAGGATCCCGCCCGCTCCCAGGTAGTTATTCGGGTAAACTGAGGCTCGACTGAGACCACCAAATCAGGCGACTTTGAAGCAACAAGTGAAGTTTATTGGAGCTGGGGTGCAGGCGGGCCAAGGGTGATAAGACCATTGGCCCTGCGTGAAGGGCTGGGGGAAGGTTTTATAGGAGTGTTTGGTTGGGAAGGAGTATGGCAGGCAGGAGTGGGAAATTTTTAGTCTGGGTCTGGTGTGGGTTTCTTGGTAATATCCATGTTTTAATGGTGCCATAGATGACATAATAGGCTATGTAAAAGACCCCCAAAGCTACAGGAAAACACTTCTGGCATTACTAAGGAAATTCAGTAGTGTAAGTGGATACAAAGTCTACACTCAAAAATCAATAGCATTCCTGTACCCAAACAACAAACTCAATGAGAGAGAAATTAAAGAAACCACACCTTTCCCAGTAGCCCCCACCCCCATCAAAATGAAATACTTAGGAATCAACCTAACAAATGAAGTAAAATCTAAACATTGAAAATTATTGTACTTTGAAAAGGCGATTAAAGAGGACATCAGAAAATGGAGAGTTCAAGGTCAGTGTGGGATACAAAGTGAGTTCAAGGCCAGCCTGAACTACATAGTGAAACACTTTTCAAACTGACAAAAAAAAAAAAAATTGAAACACCAACACCCAACCAGGCCTGAACCCAAGGAACCCTCACTGACTGCTCACTGGTGCTGCTGCAAAGTTTCCTTACCCCATTCCCGGCCCTGTCAGCACCTCCTCCTTGCAGGACAAGGACAAAGACTGAAGTCAGAACTGAACACAGAGGTACCCTGGGAAGGGGGAGAGCATGCTGGTCGGTCAGTCACTGATGCTGTGGTGTTGCATCGCCCTGCCCAGGTGAAGTCTTGGCCCATCTGGGAGACCTGGGATCCTCCAGCACCCCGGGAGGCAGGCAGCAGAGACTTCACAGAGCTCCCTTGGAACCTTGCAGGTTCACTGCTCGGGAGCAAAACAAGGTTCACAGCCCAATGC